ACTTTAGAGTGAATTTTGCTGCTTTTCAAGCTTAAATAACTACCACAAACCAAATGAGGAATTAAAGACAACTTCTAGAGTCTGGTAAGTGAACTCAATAAGCAGTCAATTTAAAAACACAAATCCACACACTCTTATCTGTACTTCCAGAGTTCTAAAACCTAACATTTTCATTAACTCATTGGATGACAAAACCTGACCTGAATGGATGTGAAGCCATTTTTAGTTGTCTTTCTCCACTTACTGTAACTATTAATATCTTTCACTGCATAAGTATGTTTTAGGGAGTGCTATCCCAGACCCTACTGGGGATTCATATACATTATATGCATCATAATGCCTTCTTAAAACTGGAACTGCTTTATTTCCAAAACACATCACCAAAAGGGTTTTACATACAAGACTGGGGACCTATATCACTGAAGGGAAAAAAAAATGTATGCATCCATAACATTAGTTACCAAATATTTGATCAGCATACTTAATTTTCTCTTTTATCTAGTTTTCCTCCATAATTAGTAAATACTGAAATTCTGAAATAATCCCATTTTATTTTGCTTTTTTGATTTGGGTTGACTGATGGTATTCATCATCATTCTCAGAAACTGTTCCCCAAAAAGGCTTCCAATGAAGTATAGTTAAACTCAGACTGAAGCAGAGTGGTTATATCTTTTTTTTAATTAAGGAATCACTGATATACACTCTAATGAAGGTTTCACAAGAAAAACAATGTGGTTACTACATTCACCCATATTATCAAGTCCCCCCATACCCCATCACACTCACTGTCCATCAGTGTAGTTAAGATGCCAGTCACTACTTGTCTTCTCTGTGCTACACTGTCTTCCCCATGACCTCCCCCACACCATGTATATGAATCATAATACCCTTCAATCCCCTTTTCTCTCCCCCACCCCTCCCCTTTGGAACTGCTAGTCCCTTCTTAGAGTCTGTGCGTCTTCTGCTGTTTTTCCTTCAGTTTTGCATCATTGTTGTACTCCACAAATGAGGGAAATCATTGGTATTTGTCTTTGTCTGCCTAACTTATTTCACTGAGCATAATACCCTCTAGCTCCATCCATGTTGTTGCAAATGGTAGGATCTGTTTCCTTCTTACGACTAAATAGTATTCCGTTGTGTATATGTACCCAAAGTGGTTGTAGCTTATGATCTAAAATCTATTTTTAGATGACAGAACAGCTGCATGGAAACTGTTGTCAAATTCTCTCCATCAGGAAGCATACCCACGAATTCTCCTGTCTTTGAACTATATTGTATACTGAGGAACCAAAAAGGGACTAAGTAATTTTGTTATCTATAATTCTCTAAAGACTTTTTTCTTATATAAATCCACCTAAAGACACTCATTACAAAGACTCTGACTCCAAATAAAGTTAAACACAGAAAATTATTTTTAGACATATGAGCTAAATGAACCCAGACAATAAAATATTTCTTCCTTTTCTCTTAGAAAATAAACTTCATTTATTGCTCAAAATTAAATGATTTCCAGATTGCTATATGCAGACAATAAAGTAAAGGCAATAAAGTATATGTAAACCCATTGTAACAAAGTGAATAGGAAAAGGATCATTAGCTGACATTTCAACAAACTTCTAGATGATGAACTTATTACAGAACATGCACACAGTGATTGCAGGGGAAAGTGATGCAGACTGAGAAAGTGGGGATTAAGTCACGGAACAGCTTTGTACATGGCCCTCACCCACACCCCTTACTCATGTCTGATAAATTACTTAAATCTGTGAAAAAGGTAGCTTTACTCAATATTTTTTTCCAACAGGCTGGTCAATAGCACATCCTATTCATATAGAAAGAAGTCCCAGTTTGTTCTTCCATTTAAAAAATTGGTGGAACTACCTGAACAGAAGCAATAATACTCAACCATTACCTAGTCCTTCATTTATAAATGTAAACAACTAATTATCAAGTATGTGACAAAAATCATTAGCAAAAAAAAAAAAACAAGCCAAACAAAATAGTCACTAGAAGGAAAAAGAGATAATCCAATTAACAGAAAATAATTTTTTAAAAGACAGCCCTAAATATTATTTAGGGCAGATTAAAGACAGATTAAAGAAATGCATCTTTAAAACAGACAGATTAAAGAGAAATACCGGTACAAAAAGACTTCTTGGAATTAAAAATATGATTGTTAAAATGTCACCATTGAGCTGGATAAGATTCAAAGTAATTTCCCAGAATAGGAAAAAAAGTAGAAGATAACAAAAAACAAAAGATTCCAACTACAGAGAACAAAGAAAACAGCACAGAAAAATTCTGGAATAAAGTAAGTTTCCCAGAGTTAAATAAAGATCAAGCCTTTAAGCGGAAAGAACACACTTGTAACAGCTAGGATGTGGAACAGAATATCCATATTGAGACCTATTAGCATACAGTTTACAAAACCCAGGACAGACGAAAACCCCAAAAGCTTCCAGAGAGGAAAAATAAAGTGTTTACCAAAATAAAATATTACTGTCACTGGCATTAGACAGACATTACAACACTGGATGCTGGAAGACAATAGAGCAATATGATACTTTCTAAGTTCTGTGGGAAAATGTTGAACCAGTATTCTATACCTAGCCCAACTATCAATCAAGCATGAGGCAAACAAAATGATTTCGGACAGAGGACACAAAATATTTAACTCCTGCCATCCCAAGCTACTTAGGCTTATTCTCCAACGAACTTGAAAGTACACTCATGTAATAGATATTTTACAATTAGATATCGTCAAAAAGTTTGAAGATATGCTGAAGGCAAATTTTTCTTTAGTCAACCACAAAAATGAAAGGCTATATGGGAACAAAATATGCAAGGGAAATCAGGGTTGAAATATGAAAGTAAATTGTGGCATGTTTTGAGCAATTATGACATGTTACAGAAGAAAATACATCTAATCCTGACAATAGCAATGTATGGACAGACCTAATTACCAAAAGAAAATTATATCCCTAATACTTATCTTGTAACCAGAATTGGGTATCTCTTGACCATCTTCCTTCAGTTCCTCCTGGCCACATACAGAGCATTTTACAGCTAGAGTCAGACAGGTAACAGTATTGCTACTGTGTGAAAAACCTTAGCTATTATTCTCTGGAAAGATTATAAAACAGCAGCATCAAAATGCTTCAGATTAAATAAAATACAATTTTTATTTGCTTGCTGGGTGTCTCCCCTACTGCACTTAGTAACGTTAAGGGCAGTAATAATTTTTCTTTCAAACCTGTTTCCTCTGCACATGGATCAGTGACTGGCACATAACAAATATTTAATGTGTCATATTTTAACATCTCTGAAACTAGGATGGGTCCAACAGGATCAATCCATGGCCCTGATATTTTTACCTTCTAGGTGGTACACATAATGACGAGTTATACAAGCAAATGCATCTAAGATTTAAGAAATTCAATAACACAATCTATGGAGGAAGATGGGAGTTGTGAGACTCCAAATGTTGGTAAATCCAAGATACAGAAACATTAAGCTCATTATTTTGAGTTATGGAACTAAATACTTAAAGAAATAAAAATAGAGGGCTAAACATAATTGCCTCCTGGGAAGAGGCACTAGACTGTTATTGCCTTTCACTATAAGCCAGTCTAAACTATTTTATTTTACCAAGTGCTCAGACTTTTTATGAACCATTTTCAAGTATTTACTAAGGAGCAAAGTAGAGATTCACACATACAAAATTACAGGGACTCAGACAAGAACATTCCCACGGATGCAGATAGGCATTCATGGGCAAACAGTCAAAAGTCAGAATCAGGCATCTTCAAAAATTTCAATTGGCAATGAGGGTTGGAGACAATGAATTCTGGACACAAATTTAGCAAATTTCTAAAGCGTGACATCAACAACATGAGCTGCCTACTAATGAAATTACACCATTTTGCTCATCAGAAAGTCAAGGCAGGATAAGCAAAAGCTAGCAAGTTTATCCCAGGGCCCGGACTGAAAATTCAGACCCCACCCCCCACCCCCGTAGGTGGAGTAATTACTAGTTGTCCCTCTCCGAAACACTTCACATTTACACAACACCCTTTCACCTGCCCTGGCCAGTCTACACAATGAGAGACGCGCGAACTGAACATGGTCTCTCCATTGCCCGAAAGACCAACTGACTTTATTATGAAGGCATAAAAGCTGGGAAGGGAACTGCTGCTAGGGGTAGGCGGTCCACGCATCGGAGGACGGCGGCCATGACATTCAGAATCCCAGCTGCCGGAGTCTGGTGCACAGAAGCATCCAAGGGCCTGCTCCAGTCTCCGATAAAAGAAAGCACGCCGTTCCCCAGAGAGAGCTAACGAGCTTTAAAACCCAACTTGCCCTAAGCCGACAGTGGCGTTCAGTTCAGACCCCGCCCCTCCCTCCTAACCCGAGGCAGATTTCAAAATGTCACACGGCCGATACTAAGCGCGCCACAGTGGAACCCACCCCCGGGTAGACCCGGACGCAGGAGGCAGGTCCCACCCCTTCCGCCCTCCACCCGCGCAGAGTTCATTCATTCTCCAGGCGGGCAGCTGCTCCTCCCGGACCCGCCGTCCCTACACCGCAAAGCCACCAAACGCTTTGTGTTGGGCCTGGCCGGAAACCGGGGCGCGCGTTCGAGCACACGCCCAGACGCCAGCTCCCTACCCCGGCGACCCGCGGAGCTTCAGCGCCGGAGAACACTTCTGGATCTCGGGTCCGAAGCCGGGCGTGTTCCTATTCCGCGGCCACAGGGCGCACCTCGCCCGGTCCTGCTAGGTATCCCGGATCGTGAAAGGTGTAGCCGGTCCTGCCATCGCGGCAACTCGAGCCCACTCCGCGCCCCCTCCCCCCCACTAAGAAACACTCGATCCCTTCGCTTTCCCGGAGACGGACACCCTGTCCCTTCCGAAGGGCGTGGGCACTGACCCCGTCCTCCCGCTCGGGCTGCAGCCCCAGCCCCTCGGGAGAGCTCACGCGGCCGCCTGGCGAGCACTCACTTGAGGAGCAGCTGGTCGTGCTCGGCTTTGATCTTGCCCAGGTCGATCTGCAGCTTGGCGCGCTCGCGGGCCGTGTCGTCCAGGGCGCGGCGCGCGTCGGCCAGCTCGGTCTCGTACAGCGCCTTGAGGCCGGTGAGCTCGCGGCCGCGCACCTCCTCCCGCTCCGTCACCTGTAGCTGCAGCGCGCTGTTCTCCGTCTCCAGGCTGCGCACCTTGTCGATGTACACGGCCAGCCGGTCATTGAGCTCGCGCAGCTCCTCCTTCTCCTGCAGCCGCGACAGCCGCGTAGGGCTCAGCGGCGTGGCAGGGCCGCTGGCGTGGCTGCCCGCATGCGGCGGCACGGGGGTCGCGGTCGCCATGGCGGGCGGCGGGGCGATCGGCGGGGGAGAATGAGCAGGGGGCGCTGCAGGGGCGAAGCCAGGACCGAAGGCACACCGGCGACCAGCGCACGCGGAGAGGCCGGCGTGGGGAGGAAGCAGCACCTGCGATGGCGGGAGAGAGAATACAGCACAAAGGGCAAAAGGGGAGGAATATGAACCGATCAGTCGTAAAATGCCCTTTGTAAGGAAACACGCACACACTCGGGAAGACCGCGGAGAGGGTCACCGGGAAGGCTGAGCAGAGTCCGCGCACGCCGCCGCCACCGCCACCGAGTCTCCCGCCCGCAGCACTTTGTTTCCTCTCAGGCGGCGCGGCGCTGCGCGGAGGGCCGGGGAGAGGGGCCCAGGGGGAGGAGGAGGAGGGGGAGGTGGCTCAGACCACGGCACTCGCTCCCCAACATTGCCAGCGCGCTCTGCCCCCCCCCAAATGACCATCACCAGCCAATGGGGAGTAGTCGGTGCCCCCGAGCGGCCCGGGGGCGGGGCCTGTGAATTCAAAGCCAACCCCGGAGCAACCGTCGGCCGGGCGCGCGGGGCTGGGCGTGGCTGGGGAAGCGCTGAGGGCGTCCGGGAGGGGCGTGTCGGGCTGCTCGCCCGCCCTGCCACACTGGGCCCGGCGTGGGCCGGGCTGTCCAACCGCCNCACACACACACACACAGAGCTCTTGTTAGGTGAACAATTTGCCATTCACGCAACACCCTCTCCACTTTGCCATTCAGGACAACACCATTATCCCTGCAGAAGCTAACACCTACTTACCTCCCAACACTCGCTCAGATCTCACTGCATCCCCAAGTCCCCTGGGATGTCTTTCAAAACTTCACAAAACCTCTGGCCTGCCTTAGGTACTCTTTTTCTCCAAAGCACCATGTGGATACTGCTCTCATAGCACTCACTGCACTGTACCATGGAATGTGTTTATATATAAAGTATCACAATACTGATGTAATGTTTGTTTTCTTTCTTCCCCACTAAACTGTAAGCAACTTGGTAACAGGGACTGAGCCTCCCATATCTCTATTCCCAGCATCTGGTTCAAGGCCTGGCACATAGTACTTGTTCCACAAATGTGTGCTGAATAAAAAATGAAAACATTTCTGTCAGGAGTACCAAAGACTTATTTAAAGATTTTAATTACTTTAAAAATTATTATTAAGGCGTGAAGTAAGAAAATCACATTTTAAGTTTGAAGAGGTCTCTCAGTAATTCATCTTCACCCTTTCCTTGTTAGTAGGTGAAGCCCACAGTTGGTATTTCACACAGCTGTTTCATCACTGCACCATCCTGACAAATCCAAAACTCCTCCCCAGGAGCTGAACTATCACTGTGAAGCACACATCTACTGCCAGTTCCAAAAGTAGCACCTTCTTCTGTTGTCCCATGTTAGACTCCCATGTTAGACTTCTGTCCTATGTAAAACTTAAGTCCCAAGGAGAGATGCAGTGCTCTGTGAGCCTGCTTCAGTCAGGCAAACGGGAATAAAGACTTCAGAACAGCAATGATATAAAGATTAAATGAAGTGATACACATAAAACCCCTCTGGCAATGCTAGAAACAAAGTGTGGATCTATTCTAGGCCTGTCCTGTATTTGCTAAATTATCTGAGCAAAATACTTAACCTCTCTGAGCTCACTTCCTCACTCATCAAACACCGTTACTACAAGGCTTAAAAGACAGTGTCTGTACAGTTACCGCAGTGGGTTGGGAGGGACTTGATAATGTGAGTGAATGTAGTAACCACAATGTTGCTCGTGTGAATCCTTCATAAGATTGTGTATCAATGATACCTTAATAAAAAATAAAAAAGGATATATAACCCCACAAAGAAAACAGAAAAAAACAAAACAAACAAAAAAGACAGCATCTATTAAGTTATCTATAGATAGTGCCAGGCAAACAGCAGCACAAAATAAATGTTAGCTCTTTCTGTCCTGCATCTTACACAAGTATCTTAATCTCTCTAGGTCTCAATTTGTGTATCTACACAATAAGTTGGTTAGATCATATGCTCTAAGACCTCTTAGAGAGGAAAAAGTGCTGCAATTCTATGATCAATAAATGCAAATCCATGGGGAGGTGGGTACAGGGATGGGTACAGTAGGTGTAGGGGGAAAGAATCAGTGAGAATGTTTGACATCTTCATCTGGGTGGTGGTTACGTGCTGATATCAAAACTCATCGGGCTGTACACCCAGATTTGTGCATTATATTGTATATATCTCAATATTAAAAAAGTAGTAATCACGCTATTCCATGATTAAAAGAAATACTTAGGTTGGAAAATCAAGTCAAGGATACATGGTATCTTCATTCCTTTACATTTAATTGTTGTTTATAATACTTTGTTCTTTCTTTATTCCACTTCATGAGGTTAAGTAATTTCAACTACAAAAACTACAAAATAAAATAAATCCATACAGTGAAGGCAAAAATTTTCAATTAAAAAAGGACCAAATAAATAGATCAGCTGAGGACATTTAATATGCTCTGAAAATATCAGTAGAAACCTAAGCTTATGACCCACATTTTGACGTTTTTACTCCCCTTATGTTAGCAACATGAGCATAACAAAAAATGATCAAGAACTAGAATGAACCTCCAAAAATTAAAATTAAATTCAAACAGGAAATGGACACTCATCTGCTGCTGGTGACATCAATAAATTGGCAAAATTGTAATTACTTTATCCAGTGGTTAACATTTAACCAGTGAAGTAGTGAACATTTAACCATTAAGTTAACAGAGGTGGGGAAGAAATCTGGTTTTGTCAGCAAAAGAGGATAATAACCATGGTCCTCTGTGGCATCTGAGAAACAGAACAGATACAATCACTAAAGCCCACATTCTTGGTCACAGCAAACTAAGTGGCCAATAAAGGTTACTGACCCATCTTCAAAATGTGTTAAATGATGGTACAGTACATTTAGTGACATGTAAAGATGCTCACAAAATAGTGTTTCATGAAAAAAAGGTTACATATCAATATTTATCATGGACCTATTTTTTCTATAATATGGATATGAACAGAAAATATTCAGAGCTCTTATTTATGAAACTAGGTGATTTTTTTCTTCTTGGTGTTCATCTATATTTTGTATTTTTCCAAACTAATTTTTGTGTATCAAAAATGTTAACTTTTAAAAAATACTCCAAATGTATCAGCCAAAACACAATAGCCTTATCACAGAGGTAGAAGGGGAAAAAGAGTTAAAAATTTTGATGAGGAAACATCCTTGGATCCCTGAAAAAAACTGGGAACTTCAGTTAGACAGGGTCCCATCACCTGACACCAGGGGTTCATTGTCACTCTCTGTACATGAAATACATCTACACTGATGATATAAAACTCTGAAGATCTCTAACTCAAGTCATACCAGAAGTGATAACATCTGGACAAATGAAAGAATATACACTGTGTGAGGAAAAAAGACTCAGGGACATATTTTAAGTGCCTTATCTTTCATTCCGTGTTTACTTCCTTGGATCTGGGCACACCAGAAGATTACCTAGTCCAATCCGCTAGGTCAAATAAACAACTCCAGATTATATCCTGCTCTACCAAACATCCTTTGAAAGCATGGGAAGGAAGTGTCATGGCAATTTAAATTTCTTAGGACCTGCTTCCTAGACTTAAGACCAATTCTACGGGTTTCATCATTCCAGTTCTTCCCTTGAAAATTAAAGCGGTATCTAACACAAAGTTTTACAGCTGTCATATTAAAACCAGGGTGTTACTGTCAACTTGCTTCTACCACAGCAAAATTAGGACACAAATGGCTTTTGTTTTTTCAATTAATTATCCTACTTACAAAGAAAACTCCTTAAGCAGATTACCATTTATTATTTTAGGTTTGAAAACTAAAAATTATGGAAGTTAAAACACCCCTGCAGATTTTGTTTAACCTATATGCATTTCCTAAATTTCAATCCATCTGTGAACAAACTATGGAAAAAGCCAACAGTAAATTCATAAAGTCCAAATATACAGTAAAATTCCCCACCGATCCCCACTAAGGAAGTAGTAGGAAAAAATTAGTAGTAGTAGGAAAAAATAGTAGTAGGAAAAAATCTATCATACTTGCATTTCTGTACACTTCCTAATTTCTTCAAATTGCTAAACTGGGTAAAAATTCATCTATTATAATGAGACAGGTAAATCAGGCTAGAAAAAGGTCTGTTTCTTAATTGTTCCTGAGATTCAGAAAACTACTACTTACTCCTTATCCCAATCATACAGATGAGGAAATGAAGGAGCAAAGGATTAACCTGCCCCAAGTCAAAAAAGTAGGATGCTGCAACTTCCTGTAGTACTCTCACTTGACACTACCCCATCTCCGGCTGTGATTGACAGTGTCCCAGTTGTCTTTGTTAGAAGCGAATCAACATCTGTGCCCATTTTTAAATGAAAACACACAAATCCAAATTTCCTATAGTAAGTTTACTCGCCAATCTACTGACGAAGCAAAATCAGAGGAATGTTTCCCCAATATACTACATTGGCTTGATCTCTCAACCTCAAACCCATCCCCTCAAAGCAATGATGCTTGGGGACAGAGGTACAAGTCTACAAATCTTCAGGTGCGTAAGTACCATGAAGAAACTCAATCAATCCTATACCTATTGTGTTTGGGGAAAAAAACATTTTATTTTCATAAAATTATATTTTAAAAGAAGCACCATTGTTTTGAAAAAGTATGAAATTCTGCTTTAAATAATAGAATCTTTGTATAGTATCTCAAAGATTAATCTTGAGTTTGGGGCCTAACTCTAAGACATTAAACCACGTTTCTGGGGACATCCTTTAAAAAAATTTTTTTTCAAAGAAGGCACAGTAAATTGGCTTGCTCGGCCTCTCAAATGATCCTAACATACTTATTATATTAATTACATACCAGTAAGCCCCCATTACAGTTTTCCTAACTCATCATTCTCCAAGAGAGAAATGTACTTTAGAGTGAATTTTGCTGCTTTTCAATAAAGCTTAAATAACTACCACAAACCAAATGAGGAATAAAAGACAACTTCTAGAGTCTGGCAAATGGACTCAATAAACAGTCAATTTAAAAACACAAATCCACACACTCTTATCTGTACTTCCAGAGTTCTAAAACCTAACATTTTCATTAACTCATTGGATGACAAAACCTGACCTGAGTGGATGTGAAGCCATTTTTAGTTGTCTTTCTCTACTTACTGTAACTATTAATATCTTTCCCTGCAGAAATGTTTTAGGGACTGCTACCCCAGACCCTACTGGAGATTCATATACATTATATGCATCATAATGCCTTCTTAAAACTGGAACTGCTTTATTTCCAAAACACAACACCAGAAGGCTTTTACATACAAGACCAGGGACCTATATCACTGAAGGGGAAAAAAAATGTATGCATCCATAAAATTAGTTACTGAATGTTTGATCAGCATACTTAATTTTCTCTTTTATCTAGTTTTTCTCCAGAATTAGTAAATACTGAAATTCTGAAATAATTCCATTTTCTTTCGCTTTTTTGTTTAGAGTTGACTGATGGTATTCATCATCATTCTCAGAAACTGTTCCCCAAAAAGGCTTCCAATGAAGTAAAATTAAACTCAGACTGAAGCAGAGTGGTTATATCTTTTTTTTATTAAGAAATCACTGATATACACTCTTATGTAGGTTTCACAAGAAAAACAATGTGGTTACTACATTCACCCATATTATCAAGTCCCCCCATACCCCATTGCACTCACTCTCCATTAGTGTAGTTAAGATGCCAGGGTCACTACTTGTCTTCTCTGTGCTACACTGTCTTCCCCATGACCTCCCCCACACCATGTATACTAATCATAATACCCCTCAATTCCCTTCTCCCTCCCACACCCTTCCCCTTTGGTAACTGCTAGTTCCTTCTTAGAGTCTGTGAGTCTTCTGCTGTTTTGTTCCTTCAGTTTTGCTTCATTGTTGTACTCCACAAATGAGGGAAACCATTGGTATTTGTCTTTGTCTGCCTGGCTTATTTCACTGAGCATAATAATACCCTCTAGCTCCATCCATGTTGTTGCAAATGGTAGGATCTGTTTCCTTCTTATGGCTAAATAGTATTCCATTGTGCATATGTACATAGAGGGGTTGTATCTTATGATCTAAAATCTATTTTTAGATGACAGAACAGCTGCATGGAAACTTGTCAAATTCTCTCCATCAGGAAGCATACCCATGATTCTCCTGTCTTTAAAGTATATTGTATACTGAGGAACCAAAAAGGGACTAAGTAATTTTGTAATCTATAATTCTCTAAAGACTTTTTTCTTATATAAATCCATTACAAAGACTGACTCCAAATAAAGTTAAACACAGAAAATTATTTTTAGACATATGAGCTAAATGAACCCAGACAATAAAACATTTCTTCCTTTTGTCTTAGAAAATAAACTTCATTTATTGTTCAAAATTAAATGATTTCCAGATGGCTATATGCAGACAATAAAGTAAAGGCAATAAAGTATATGTAAACCCATTGTACCAAAGTGAATAGGAAAGGGATCATTAGCCAACATTTCAACAAATTTCTAGATGATGAATTGTAGATAAAACTACTTATCACAGAACATGCACACAGTGATTGCAGGGGAAAGTGAAGCAGACTGAGAAAGTGGGGATTAAGTCACGGAACAGCTTTGTACATGGCCCTCACCCACACCCCTTACTCATGTCTGATACGTTACTTAAATCTGTGAAAAAGGTAGCTTTACTCAATATTTTTTTCCAACAGGCTGGCCAATAGCACATCCCATTCATAAGAGTCTGTGAGTCTTCTGCTGTTTTGTTCCTTCAGTTTTGCTTCATTGTTGTACTCCACAAATGAGGGAAACCATTGGTATTTGTCTTTGTCTGCCTGGCTTATTTCACTGAGCATAATAATACCCTCTAGCTCCATCCATGTTGTTGCAAATGGTAGGATCTGTTTCCTTCTTATGGCTAAATAGTATTCCATTGTGCATATGTACATAGAGGGGTTGTATCTTATGATCTAAAATCTATTTTTAGATGACAGAACAGCTGCATGGAAACTTGTCAAATTCTCTCCATCAGGAAGCATACCCATGATTCTCCTGTCTTTAAAGTATATTGTATACTGAGGAACCAAAAAGGGACTAAGTAATTTTGTAATCTATAATTCTCTAAAGACTTTTTTCTTATATAAATCCATTACAAAGACTGACTCCAAATAAAGTTAAACACAGAAAATTATTTTTAGACATATGAGCTAAATGAACCCAGACAATAAAACATTTCTTCCTTTTGTCTTAGAAAATAAACTTCATTTATTGTTCAAAATTAAATGATTTCCAGATAGCTATATGCAGACAATAAAGTAAAGGCAATAAAGTATATGTAAACCCATTGTACCAAAGTGAATAGGAAAGGGATCATTAGCCAACATTTCAACAAATTTCTAGATGATGAATTGTAGATAAAACTACTTATCACAGAACATGCACACAGTGATTGCAGGGGAAAGTGAAGCAGACTGAGAAAGTGGGGATTAAGTCACGGAACAGCTTTGTACATGGCCCTCACCCACACCCCTTACTCATGTCTGATACGTTACTTAAATCTGTGAAAAAGGTAGCTTTACTCAATATTTTTTTCCAACAGGCTGGCCAATAGCACATCCCATTCATATAGAAAGAAGTCCTAGTTTGTTCTTCCATTTAAAAAATTGGTGGGAGGGACTACCTGAACAGAAGCAATAATACTCAACCATTACCTAGTCCTTCATTTATAAATGTAAACAACCAATTATCAAGTATGTGACAAAAGTCATTAGCAAAAAAAAACAACAAAAAAAACAAGCCAAACAAAAAAGTGACTAGGAGGAAAAAGAGATAATCCAATTAACAGACAATTTTTTTAAAGACAGCCCTAAATATTATCCTGACAAATTAAAGAAAATGCATCTTTAAAACAGAAACACCTGAAAGAGAAATACCGGTACAAAAAGATTTCTTAGAACTAAAAATATGATTGTTAAAATGTCACCGTTGAGCTGCATAAGATTCAAAGTAACTTCCCAGAATAGGAAAAAAATTAGAAGATAACGAGAAACAAAAGATTTCAACTAGAGAGAACAAAGAAAACAGCACAGAAAAATTCTGGAATAAAGTAAGTTTCCCAGAGTTAAATAAAGATCAAGCCTTTAAGCTGAAAGAACACACTTGTAACAGCTAGGATGTGGAACAGAATATCCATATTGAGACCTATTACCATACAGTTTACAAAACCCAGGATAGACGAAAACCCCAGAAGCTTCCAGAGAGGAAAAATAAAACATTACTGTCACTGGCATTAGACAGACATTACAACACTGGATGCTGGAAGACAACAGAACAATATGATACTATCTAAGTTCTGTGGGAAAATGCTGAAACAGTATTCTATACCTAGCCCAACTATCAATCAAGCATGAGGCAAACAAAATGATTTCAGACACAGAGGACACAAAACATTTAACTCCTGCCATCCCAAGCTACTTAGTTATTCTCCAATGAACTTGAGGGAAGAAAGTACACTCATGCAATGGATATTTTACAATTAGATATCGTCAAAAAGTTTGAAGATATGCTGAAGGCAAATTTTTCTTTAGTCAACAACAAAAATGAAAGGCTATTTGGGGACAAAATGTGCAAGGGAAATCAGGATTGAAATATGAAAGTAAATTGTGGCATGTTTTGGGCAATTATGACATGTTACAGAAGAAAATACATCTAATCCTGACAATAGCAATGTATGGACAGACCTAATTACAAAAAGAAAATTATATCCCTAATACTTATCTTGTAACCAGAATTGGGTATCTTTTGACCATCTTCCTTCAGTTCCCCCTGGCCACATACAGAGCATTTTACAGCTGGAGTCAGCTAGGTGACAGTCTTGCTACTGTGTGAAAAACCTTAGCTGTTATCCTCTGGAAAGATTATAAACCACCAGCATCAAAATGCTTGATTAAATAAAATACAATTTTTATTTGCTTGTTGGGTATCTCCCCCTACTGCACTCAGCAATGTAAGGCAGTAATAATTTTTCTTCCAAGCCTGTTTCCTCCTCAAATGGATCAGTGACTGGCCCATAACAAATATTTAATGTGTCATATTTTAACATTTTTGAAACCAGGATGGGTCCAACAGGATCAATCCATGGCCCTGATATTTTTACCTTCTAGGTGGTACACATAATGACGAGTTATACAAGCAAAGGCATCTAAGATTTAAGAAATTCAGTAACAAAAACTATGGAGGAGGATAGGACTCATGTGACTCCAAATGTTGGTAAATCTAAGATACAGGAATATTAAACTCATTATTTTGAGTTATGGAACTAAATACTTAAAGAAATAAAAATAGAGGGCTAAACATAATTGCCTCCTGGGAAGAGGCAGTAGACTGTTATTGCCTTTGACTCTAAGCCAGTCTAAACTATTTTATTTTACCAAGTGCTCAGTCTTTTTATGAACTATTTTCAAGTATTTATTAAGGAGCAAAGTAGAGATTCACACATATAAGATGACAGGGACTGAGACAAGAACATTTCCACGGATACAGATAGGCATTCATGGGCAAACAGTCAAAGTCAGAATCAGGCATCCCCAAAAATTTCAATTGGCAATGACGGTTGGAGACAATGAATTCTGGACACAAATTTAGCAAATTTCTAAAGCGTGACATCAACACAATCTGCCTACTAATGAACAGAAAGCCAAGGCAGGATAAGCAAAAGCTAGCAAGTTTATCCCAGCGCCCGGACTGAAAATTCAAACCCCACCCCCCACCCCCGTAGGTGGAGTAATTACTAGTTGTCCCTCTCTGAAACACTCCACATTTACACAACACCCTTTCACCTGCCCTGGCCAGTCTACACAATGACAGACGCGCGAACTCAACATGGTCTTCTCCATTACCCGCAAGACCAACTGACTTTATTATGAGGGCGCAAAAGCTGGGGAAGGGGACTGCTCTTAGGGGTAGGCGGTCCACGGATCGGAGGACGGCGGCCAAGACATTCAAAAACCCAGCTGGAGGAGTCTGGTGCACAGAAGCATCCAAGGGCCTGCTCCAGTCTCCGCTAAAAGAAAGCACGCCGTTCCCCAGAGAGAGCTAACGAGCTTTAAAACCCATTTTGCCCTAAGCCGACAGTGGCGTTCAGTTCAGACCCCGCCCCTCCCTCCTAACCCGAGGCAGATTTCAAAATGTCACACGGCCGAGCGCGCCAAAGTGGGACCCACCCCCGGGTAGACCGGGACGCCGGAGGCAGGTCCCACCCCTTCGGCCCTCCGCCCGCGCAGAGTTCATTCATTCTCCAGGCGGGAAGCTACTCCCCCCGGACCCGCCGTCCCTACACCGCAAAGCCACAAAACGCTTTGTGTCGGGCCTGGCCGGAAACCAGGGCGCGCGTTCGTGCACACGCCCAGACGCCAGCTCCCTACCCCGGCGACCAGAGGGGCTTCTGCGCCGGAGAACCCTTCTGGATCTCGGGGTCCCGGGCCCGAAGCCGGGCGTGTTCCTCTTCCGCGGCCACATGGGCGCACCTCGCCCGGTCCTGCTAGGTATCCCGGATCGGGAAAGGTGTAGCCGGACCTGCCATCCCGGCAACTCGAGCCCCCTCCGCGACCCCTCCCCCCCACTAAGAAACACTCGATCCCTTCGCCTTCCCGGAGACGGACACCCTGTCCCTTCCGAAGGGCCTAGGCACTGACCCCGTCCTCCCGCTCGGGCTGCAGCCCCAGCCCCTCGGGAGAGCTCACGAGGCCGCCTGGCGAGCACTCACTTGAGGAGCAGCTGGTCGTGCTCGGCTTTGATCTTGCCCAGGTCGATCTGCAGCTTGGCGCGCTCGCGGGCCGTGTCGTCCAGGGCGCGGCGCGCGTCGGCCAGCTCGGTCTCGTACAGCACCTTGAGGCCGGTGAGCTCGCGGCCGCGCACCTCCTCCCGCTCCGTCACCTGTAGCTGCAGCGCGCTGTTCTCTGTCTCCAGACTGCGCACCTTGTCGATGTACACGGCCAGCCGGTCATTGAGCTCGCGCAGCTCCTCCTTCTCCTGCAGCCGCGAAAGCCGCGTAGGGCTCAGCGGCGTGGCGGGGCCGCTGGCGCGGCTGCCCGCCCGGGGCGGCACGGGGATCGCGGTCGCCATGGCGGGCGGCGGGGCGATAGGCGGGGGAGAATGAGCAGGGGACGCTGCAGGAACGAAGCCGGGACCGAAGACACACACCGGCGACCAGCGCGCGCGGAGAGGCCGACGTGGGGAGGAAGCAGCACCTGCGATGGCGGGAGAGAGGTTACAGCACAAAGGGCAAAAGGGGAGGACTATGAACCGATCAGTCGTAAAATGCCCTTTGTAAGGAAACACGCGCACACACACTCGGGAAGACCGCGGAGAGGGTCACCGGGAAGGCCGAGCAGGGTCCGCGCACGCCGCCGCCGAGTCTCCCGCCCGCAGCACTTTGTTTCCTCTCAGGCGGCGTGGCGCTGGGCGGCGGGCCGGGGAGAGGGGCCCAGGGGGGGGAGGAGGAGGAGGAGGTGGCTCAGACCACGGAAAACGGTCCCCAACATGGCTAGCGCGCTCTGCGCCCCCACCTGACCGTGAGCAGCCAATGGGGAACAGGCTGCGCACCCGAACGACCCGAGGGCGGGGCCTGTGAATTCAAAATTCGACCCCGGAGCAACCCTAGGCCGGGCGCGCGGGGCTGGGCGTGGCCGGGGAAGTGCTGAGGGCGTCCGGGAGGGGCGACTCGGCCTGCTCGCCCGCTCGGCCGCTTTGGGCCCTGTGCGCGCCGGGCCGTCCCACCGCCCCGCGGGAACCCCTGCAGGGGCCGGGCCGGCGGCTGGCGGGAAGGAGCCCGGAGGTTTCCGGGGCGGGCCCGCGCCGCCGCCCACGCCCGGCAGTTCAGGGAAATTCAAAAGTAAACGTCCCCGGCAGCCACCCGTGAGAACTCTAGGAGGCCGGGACGACCTCGACAATGTAACCTTATACCCGCCGGGCGGAGCGGCGTCGGAGAACGGTCTGGAGGCCCGGCCGCTGTGGTTACGTAATCGGTGCTGTTGTCCAAGCCTTTTTTTTCCTCTCAGATGGAAACCGGTGTCAGAGCACCTCCTCCCTGCCAAATTGACGTGCTTGGGTTTTCAAACCGACAGATGAAGACCCCAGAAAAAGCAGAAGCCCTGTCATTAAATCATTTGCTACCAGTGCTGGTGGTCGGTCCATGATCTGTGTATTTTTTAACAATTTAGGGGCTTATAAAATCAAAACCACAATTGATATTGTTAACATGTGACTGAAGTAAATAGTACAAGCTGTTAATTGTCATCCTTCACTAAAATACGATGCATCAAAACCTGAACTAGTGAAAATTTAGGTAGAAATGACTTTTCCCTTTTAAGAAGGACCACCTAAATTGTAATTGGCAACTATTCCTAATAGAATGTCCATTAATCCCTTTGAAAAGTTTTTGACTTTTAGGCTGACATTTGTTGGGATTAGCTATGTGCCCTGCACTGGGTTTTTCGTGGGTTATCCATCCACGCAGCCGCTCTATGGTAGGGGAATTGGATTATTTCCATTTGAAAATTCATCCTTTTTATAAATGAATTTCCTTAAGGCTGCCTAGCTGGGACAGGACTGCCCTTGAACCCAGACGGTTACAAATGACTGCAGAGCCTCACCTTTAACTATAACCTAAAAGGCCACTTCACAACCCATTAGGAACTTGTCTGTAATGACAGGTTAGTTACCTTAATAGTGGCAAAAATGAGACCAAGATGTTTTTTAAATATTAATCAAGTCATGTACATAAACATTAGTGAAAGTCACGGGGCTGCTTCTCTGTGAGCTTTGGGCGCTCTGAGTGATGATAGTGTCCTTATTAATGGTTCTACTTCCAGCCCTGTTATGTAGAATGCCATAAGGAGATTAGTCTTTTCCCCAGCTGAAACCTCTCCAGAGATTTGCATGTTTTTAAAAAGTGTTAAAATAGAAACCCTTAGAGGTTTAGGATACCTGAGAAGTCATAGCCAATTGTGGACAAACATACATAAAAATAATTCTGCTTCACAGTACCAGGCCCTAAAAAGGAGGCATGAACAACGTAGTGTAGGTACCCCAAGGACCAGACAGGCCTCTGCATCCAAGAGGAGTCAACTGCTTGGAGACAGATGATCTGTGAGCTGGGCTTCGAAGACCGTCAACCTCCAGGGACTGGCAAATGGATCCAGTACTTTGTGGAGGCCTGTAAATGGCAATCCACAGCCCCAGGGGAGAATTAAAGGGGAACCCCAAATGGAATCCCTAATCTCTTTATGGCATGTTTTTTATTTCAAACCACATTGTGTGGGGATGCTTTAAACTAGGAAATAGGGAAGTCTTAACTTTAGGCCTGGCTTTCATTAGTCAAGAAAAATGGAAAATTGAGGAAATTACCATATAATTAAAACAAGTAATTATTTAAGCCAAATCATAACAGTTATGCCTTGCCAAAAGCAAAACAAAAATAGAAAACCAATTGAGTCAGAAATTTTATTCAGTAGCTCCTGCATGCAAGGAACTACACTGCATCCTATGAAAGATTTTTTTTTAAAGTATGTGGGTTTTTTTTTTAAGTATGAAATGTGGTTCATTTAATAAAGATACTGAGTATGGAATATATTTGTGTGAAAAAGAAATGTATTCATGTGGATAAATAGGTTAATCAATCAAGTCATGCATGATAAAGGCCCAAAGGAGTCACATTTGATCACTGGGACTACTAAAATTTAGAGAATGAAGAAATCTCTTGAGGCCAGGACAAGAGAGGACATCATAGAAAAAGAGGATTTGAACTGAACATTAAAATAGGGGAAACTTATCTCAGTAAGTGACGTGATTTACAAAAAATTAGCCTTACAAGTTTTTCAGAAACAGAACTATTCAATAAAATGAGATGACTCTGTATTCTATGTAAATGCTTCTACTTGTTTATATTGAGAATGCATATTAGAAACTGAGCAAGAAGCATCTGGAATTCGGACACCCACATACCTGCAAATTAATGTTACCAAAAAGATTCTGTTTAAGTCCCTGAAGAGAGACAGAAGACATTGAAAAGTAAATAGGGGCCTCTCTGATTTACTAAAATATATTGAGTAATAAAGCAACTGAAACTTTCATATATTGCTGATGGGAGTGTTAAAATGGTAACAACCACTTCAGAAAGTGTTTGTTCCTTACAAAGCTAAAAATTTGCCTACCCTCTAGTCCAACAATTCTACTCCCCAAACAAATGAAAGCATTTCTACTAAAAGACTTGTACAAGAAGTTCAGAGTAGCTTTATTCATAAGAGCCCAAACTGGAAACAGTCCAAATGCCCATCAACAGAACAGACAAATAAATCATGGTATATGTACTACTAGATAATTAAAAAGAATGAACTACAGATACATGCATCAACATGTATGAATTTCATGAGCATTATGTGCAGCAATAGAGTACATTTTATATGATACAGCTATAGGAAATTCAAGAACAAGTAAGTGTAATCTATGTGAAAGAAATCGGAACTGGTTGTTAAGGAACTTTCTGGAATGGTAGGGTTATGGGTGCTTGAATAAATACAGTTATCAGAGCTCATGAAATTGTACACAAGATCTGATCATTTCACTTTATGTAGATCTTATCACAAAAAAATAAATGAAAACATTCTGGTCTCTTTTAGATTAGCTTTAAAAACTCACAAAACATACTTTGAAACTTCTTTATTTTCTGTAAGTAGATCAAGTTTCCACCTTGTTTATTGCCTGACCTCTAAAGTTTTCTGTGGACTCATTTTTCACACCCATGCTATAAAACCTGTGTAATTTTTTTAGGTGTTAGAAATCATATACAGCCTTTTTATTTTTTTAAAAAACTGGGCTTGATCAGATTTAAAAGATGTATTTAAGGATGAAACCCAGTGACGAAAGCTGCTGCCATTTTTGTCTTGGGAAGACTGGAATGTGAACACTACAAACTAAGCACCTAATAAAAAAGAAGAAACCTAAAACAATAGTTTCTACCTATGAAATTGTTTTTCACTACTACTGTCATTTTATTTTATCAGATTATGTATTTGGGCACTGAGCCTTCTATTGATCAGATACAAATACTGATCTCTCTTAATCCAGGGACCTAAAATCTTTCAATAACATAGCAAGTTTCTAAACAACTGAAGACGTGTCACAAGCTTAACTCAATAAGCAGAATGGAGATGAAGAGGAGAAAAGGGGAGTTAGCAGAACATGAGGTAGCATTGTGACTGATAAAGGATATTTAATATATAATTTTATATTTTATATTCGGAAAGCAAAAAAATTACCTATGGCTTTAGTAGTACATATTTAAAAGTTTGACTAAATCCCCTTAACCAGACAGGCTTTGTAAAAGCTGTGATTCTCGACTGGCTGTGATGGGGAAAGACAGAGAGCCTCCTGTTCCTAAGGGGCTTTACAGATTTTGGGGGCAGATGAGAATTTTGGGTTTATCAGAAGAGATCATGGATGATAAAGTTATAAGACACTGCCATGGAGGACACAGAGAAAATACAGCACATTGTTCCTGCCCCTGGTCTCATGGGGGCTCCTGAGCTACCCCCAGAACCATGTAAGTGTGTATACAACTACATACCAGAAGTAACTAGATCAGACAAGCCGTGATAGCCATGACTGCAGAAAAGTCTCGTCATTGTGACATTTGCTTGAAAAAACCACCCTGTGGTAACTTGAATCAACTGTTTCACAAGATTTTCAAAAACCCGTTGTCATTTAAAAGAAATTGGTTTCATTTCTCTAATCTTAACCTCTCAGGTTTTTTTTCATTTACTGTGTGCTTCCGTTAAGGAATTTCAGTTGGGTTGATCTCAAAGTAAGAGATGGAGAAAAGAGGCCTCAGTTGTCAGAGGAGAAAGGAAAGTCACAGAGGTTAGTCCTACATTTTTACTTTTAAAAGTAAAGCTTCACCACAAAATAATTAAGATGTTATTCCTCCTATGAGCCCCTGTCACTTTATCCTCTATAGCAGTCATTTGGAAGTTAGCATATTGCTTTTTGGTCTATCATTTCAACCAAATCTTAAGATTCTTCAAGGTAGCAGAATGTCCCAGGCAGACACTGTAGATGGTGAAATGCTCTCACTTTTCTGTCCACAGGCCCTCATATTTAAGTAGAGCGATAGACAACCACAGACAACTTAAGTACCCTGACCCTTCACCCATCAGTCATTTCTCATAACCAGTCTCCCTTATCTAAGAGATACTTCTATATACTTAGTTTGAGCAAAGCCCGCTGGTAGACATGAGTCAAGAGACTTTTTAAAATTCTCAAAACAATTACTTAAAAGACTTTGTAAGAATTCCATTTGAAAAACTTACTATTTTATGTTACTATTGTCTGAAAATAAGAGTCTGATCTGTAATGTTTATCTTAGTGACTATTGTTGATAAGATAGAACCAAATACAGTAAATAACATTGTAAGACCTTTTCTCCTTAAATAACTGCAGCTATTTCAGTTTCAGGTTTAGTATGTCATCTCAAATGCTTGTAGC